AAGCTCATGCTGAACAAGAGGCAATGCTGTGACTGCGTGTGTCTGCGTGTATGTGAGTGGATAGGTGTGTGTGTGTGTGTGCGTGTGAGTGGGTGGGTGTGCGTGTGTGTGTGTGTGTGTGTGTGTGCATGAGCGTGTGTGAGTGACTGAGTGAGTGGATGGGTGTGTGTGAACGTGTGTGTGTGTGCGTGTAAGTGGGTGGGTGTGCATGTGTGTGAGTGCGTGAGCGTGTGTGTGCGTGAGTGGGTGTGCGTGTGTGTGTGTGTGTGTTAGTGTGTGAACGTGTGAATGTGTGTTTGTGTGCGTGTTAGTGTGTGAGCGTGTGAATGTGTGTTTGTGTGCATGTTAGCGTGTGAGCGTGTGAATGTGTGTGTGTGTGTGTGCTCCTCCCTCAGTTATTCAGCAGCGTCGGTATTAAAAATTATGTAAAGGATCATTTTGAAGATAACATTGCTATTTCTAAACAGCTGAAAACATAACCAGCTTTCTACAGATGAGGAGAACAGCTGCGCACAGATCCGTGGTTTGCAAAGAAGAAGTGGGTAATGCTAAGTACCTCTACAGACAGAAACAGAATCTGGAGTTTCCTGCAGGTGTGTAGATGTGTGTGTGTGTGTGTGTGTGTGTGTCTGTCTGTCTCTGCATGCAGGTGCTAAAGGTTTGAAGTAAAATGATTATGGGCCATTTAGGGCCAGTTTCAGAGACAAAGAACTAAATATAATCCTCTATATAAAATGAGTTTAGTCAGGAACTTGGACCTGTTGCTGTGGACAATAACATTTTGTTATGTTGACAGTAACGTACAGTAACACATTGGTTACTGTGGACTGGAGATCCAGAATGCACTGCAGTTCTGTGTCGCTGTGAGTACAGCCTCTCCTTGCCCCAGAGCACACTGCCTGCTTTTGCATGCTGTCGCCCTGACAACGGTGCTCGTCACCACATCCCTGTGTGCGCAAGCGAGCGGGTTAAGATGTGATGCTGCTGGAAGCGGAGAGAAAGTTAAAAGGCTGGCTAGTGGGCTGTGGTTTTCCCGGCTTTTCATCTTGGTGACTTACGAAAAACAGAGCTGGGTTCCTGCTGGACAGGAAATGAGCAGCATTGCTACAGACTCATAAGCTGAAGAAACCAACCACTTGGGGTTAGGTGAATACCATCTGAACACCAGCTGAACACCATCTGAATTTCTCTTTCTTTAAATTTTTGTTAATTATCTTTCCAGTGATTAGAATAGAAATTAGCATTAATTTGTAATTTATCATTTACATTTTCAATGATAAAACACACTGTACTCAGTGTACCAGGTTAATACCCAACTGTAAAGCACATCATACTCAATGTACCAGGTAAATACCCAACTGTAAAACACAGTGTACTCAGTGTACCAGGTTAATACCCAACTGTAAAGCACAGTGTACTCAGTGTACCAGGTTAATACCCAACTGTAAAAGACAGCGTACACAGTGTACCAGGTTAATACCCAACTGTAAAACACAGTGTACTCAGTGTACCAGGTAAATACCCAACTGTAAAACACAGTGTACTCAGTGTACCAGGTTAATACCCAACTGTAAAACACAGTGTACTCAGTGTACCAGGTAAATACCCAACTGTAAAACACAGCGTACACAGTGTACCAGGTAAATACCCAACTGTAAAACACAGTGTACACAGTGTACCAGGTTAATACCCAACTGTAAAACACAGTGTACACAGTGTACCAGGTTAATACCCAACTGTAAAACACAGTGTACTCAGTGTACCAGGTTAATACCCAACTGTAAAAGACAGCGTACACAGTGTACCAGGTTAATACCCAACTGTAAAACACAGTGTACACAGTGTACCAGGTTAATACCCAACAGTAAAACACAGTGTACACAGTGTACCAGGTTAATACCCAACTGTAAAACACAGTGTACACAGTGTACCAGGTTAATACCCAACTGTCAAACACAGTGTACTCAGTGTACCAGGTTAATACCAATCTGTAAAACACAGCGTACGCAGTGTACCAGGTTAATACCCAACTGTAAAGCACAGTGTACTCAGTGTACCAGGTTAATACCCAACTGTACAGCACAGCGTATACAGTGTACCAGGCTAGTACCCAACTTATAAAACACAGCGTACACAGTGTACCAGGTTAATGCCTCGCAATAAAGCTCAACAGAGTTCCCAAGCGAGTCAGTCATACTGTAATGATTCATATATCCTGTTTCCCTACACTAGGCCCATTCCACAGCAGTATTTACCCACTCCCATTGGACCACTTTTGTTGGCCGACAAGTAGGGAAAAATAATCAAACCACTGGAGAAAAGGATAAAATTTTAGTCTGTGTCGATCTCATAAAAACTTACAGGTTGTGGAGAAAAGGAGGGTAATATTGGGAGACATTTGAAGAGCAGGATGTAACTACTGAGGTACAACTCATTTCCAAAAAACCAATACCGAAAATGCCAATAAAAACAAGTAAACACTGATTTTAAATCATCCTTGATCAGTATTAAATAGAAAACAGTGCAAAGACAACATATTTAATGTTTCCTTCTCTAATTTACTGACTTTTGGAAATAAACACTCATTTCAGGTTTTGTCCAGTATTTTTTGGATGGATGTGTTTACCGCTATGCTGCCTTGCCTTTTCCCTTAACTGAGTAATCATTTGGGGGACTGAGAGCATCCCCCCATTCTTCCTTGATATACATGTTCTGCTGCTCAGACCTCTGCTGTCTTTATTGTTGTATTTTGCACTTGTTAAAACAACTTTCGAGCTGAAGGCAGGTCTGGACTGCAGTTAATCTGGTCTGGCAGCCTCACTCTCCCATTAGGAGGCCCCACTGTTGTAACAAGGGCAGAATATGGCGTGCTGTTGTTTAGTTGAAATAAGCAGGGGTGTCCGTGAAAAAAACATCATCTACAGTATGCTACAACCAAAGATTTATTTGTTATTCACCTTCACCAAGGAGGTGTATGATTTTGCCGGCGATTATCTGTTTGTCTGTCTGTCTGTTAGCAGGATATCTCAAAAACAGGTATATAGATTTTAACCAAACTTTGCAGGATCTTAGAGTAGCACAAGAGGAACAAGTGATTAAATTTTGGCATATCTAGGCCAAAGTACAGCTGAGATATAGGCCAAAGTTCAAACCCAGCTATGCTGGCAGAGATTTGAAGTCTTTCCAATGGGCCGGATTTCCAATCGGCGTGCTTTTGGGTTTTGCTGCCACCTGGCGGTGGAATGTAACAACACCCTACATCAGCCAACGAAAGTAACTAATGCACAGAGACACTGGTTTTTCAACCTTGGTAAAAACCGAGGTGGTCTCTTTCCTCTTAGGCACAGACGAAACAACATCCATTATGTGCATATGTCCTTATCAGATGAGCTCAAGCCCAGAGAAGACTGCCGAGTTTCTTGACATTTATGACATGGCTTTATTCATGCATTGTGGAGTCTTCACTTGCATTTGGTGATGCAATGATAATTGGTGTTTATTGGCAAAAGTATTCAAAAGTAGTCCCCACCCTTATGGTTGGATCCATCACAAAAGCATTTTGGTTTTCAGTCCAATGCCATATTAAGGATATAAAATCTGGGGCCCTGAGCACTGATTTTCAACCTCTCTTTTATCCAAAGATTTCTGCAGATTCTGTAAATCCGTTAGTCATGGCACAAACTATGGACGGTTTGTTTCTTATTTTTATGTTATTTGAAACTTATTTCAAAAAAATATTTTCAAAAAAAAAATCAAACATTAAATATATTGTCTTTACACGGTTATTGAATTAATATAGGTCAAAGATGATTCACAAGCTGTTTTATTTTTTTTCCAGGGCATTTTCCATGCCATCCCATCTTTTTTGGAAATGGGGTTATATATACATCGCATGGTGTGCATATACTCTAAAAATGGCGGGGAAACACAGACTTCGGCAGAGCTGTTAAGACAGAAAGAGTCGTGTGGAGCCTCAGTTCTACTTTCAGTGGCAAGTTCTCCAATATGCTTGGGACAGCCTACCATCCAATTATCCTGTAACACTACGAGACTGTGTACCTAATTGTTTTGCAAATGGTGGTCACACCACATTGATTTTATTTACTTCTAAAGAGTTCACAGCTTTTTATGCTATATTTTTTATATTTAGAAATGCATTGCTAATGTCAAACTCCAACAAGCAAATAAATCGTGGGAGCAATGAGGATAAAATATAGCCAGTTAATGATGGTACAGAGTGCGTAATGTTCAATAATGACTGATTGGGGAACAGTGTACTATGATGGCAGTGTAAGCACACAAAACAAAATCCATGCTAAGGACAATATAGCAGCACAATGTTGTATAATGAGCTAAATGTATGTTCACGACAGTATTGGGAGCATGCTGGGCAATAATATCAGCATAGGGAGCGTACTGTACATTAATGATGGTTTAAACTGCATAATGTCATTAGAGGTCCCCTATCTTATCACCAGGTACACAACCAATTAGCCATTACAACCCATTTCAAAGTCTGCCTTAGGGTGCGTTCCAGGCGACTCATAACCCATGATTTACCGGTTAAAAGTGGGCAGAGCTACCGTCAAACCTGTGAATTCACGCCGGTGAACTCGATTGTGCTCAACGTACTCCGACTTCCTTGTTTGATGTTACGCAGCTCAACTAAAATGGCGGCACCGGCTTTTTTTCAAGTGAAGTCAAGTATGAAGTCGTAACTCGTTACTTTTGCCTGGAACGCTATGAAGTTGTGACTTGTAACTTTGAAGTCGTGATTCACAGGTTCAAACCTCCGCTGGAACGCAGCATTAGTGGCATCACAAGGGGGAGGGGCCAGCCAGAATAATGAAGGAACTGGTTAACTGGTTGGCTGAGGGTGATCAGTCCTTGCCTCAGGGTGGACAATTTACCATGTGATGTCACAAAGAAACAAATTTTGAAATGGCTTGTAATGGCTGATTGGCTGTACACTAGGTCACATGATAGAGGACCTTTAAAAAAGCGCTATGGCCAAGTGGTTAAGGTGCTTGTTTAGCACGCGGAAGAATCGTGATTCAAGCCCTAGTGCAGTGAGTCCTACAATGGGGCCCTTGAGAAAGGCCCTAGAGTCCACCTAATTCCAAAAGGCATTAGCCCCTACATAATCAAATCAACTGGCTAGACATGTCCGCTGAAACAAGTGCAATACAATGATGATATTGGGAACATAATGCATATTTATGGCAATATAGCAAATGTGATGAATGATAAATGTTTATGGGTCTTGATGTACAATTTCCATTCCTGTTCTTCATTAATCCCCGGTTTAGGAGGGTTGGTTTTGGGCTCCATGCCCCGCTGCTCCAAATTTTTGACTAGTTAAAGAAGGAACTTTAGCTGCCACATATGGAGAACCAGACTGTTGTAATGTACAGAACACCGGTAAGGCCAGGTGAACAACACACTCGCGGTTCAGCAGTTGGGCAGGTATTGCCCTGCGAATAGAAACCCTTTCTCCCTGTCTGAGCAGCACTGTGGATAATTAATCTGGCTTGTCTGCCGGGTGAACTCTTTGAACATTGCAGCTCAGTCATTAATTTAAGCACAGCGATACAATAATGTATTGTTTATGGTCCAGAGCGCTGATGTTTTGGGCACGATGTAATAATTGACTCTAAAATCGGCTAAGTAGCCGATGTTTGCAAATGTCGCAAGGTTGTTCAGCAAATTCATCTCATTTGCATTATTTTAACTTTTTTATTGCATAGTTTTTTAAAGACTGAACAATAAATTTACTGCAAAAAACGCCGCATGCCATCAACGTGAGGAGCGAATAATGAATTTATTTCCGCAAAATATGAAAAGCATATATTTGAATTTCAGCTTTATCGGGTGATTAGCCTACATATTTGGGCGGATTTCGAGTCCAGCCAACAAGGCGAAATCTTTTTCAGTGCCACTAATATCAATTCTGGTCTCTTCCTTACGAATCCAGAAAAACAAGCGTCCGAATTGTCAGATGCTATAGATGGTCTCACGTGATCTGCGCTCATCCGCCACTGAGAAATTTAACACATATTATAGGCCAGAGCAGCATTCCTTATCAGACCACATATAGCGAAGAGTGACGTGGGGAATAAGAAAAAAATTTAATATTGTGCTTACATTATTTATCCGATTTCGCCGCTAAACGTATGTAAGAGCAAATGAAAGCGGTAAGCCATTAGGAATTGTGTGGCCTACATTTAGGAATCGTATAGATATTAAATCTGGATAAATCCAGAGACAGTCCATTAAATTAAAAATAAATAGCAAAGTGTTGGACATTCACAAAAATAACCTTATCGCGAAAGCAGTCCTTCAGTCGTGCGGTACCTCTTTGTTAAAATACGTTCTTTCCACAGAAATATCATTGTAAAATGTTGCGTATTTCCGACATATGTGCGATAATAAATCACATCTCACCCATGAAAGTAGCCTCAGGATCGTCTGAGGCCGTTTGATAAAGGCCACCGGATCGAATTCAGCACCAGCTCTTCCTGCGCCGTAGGACCCGATACCTTCCATCTTTACTCTGTACCCGAGCCAAATGCAGCTACAAAGGCTCCAGGCTTCGCCTCTCGGAAGATAGGTAGGGGCGTACAGTGCACACGCCCAGCGTCTGTAGCGGCGTGCACAATCCAGAAGAGTCCGCGTATGGGTTTGAGTCCCTGTGCAGCACCAATGGAATCACAGCTGCGAAACTGCCATTCGTGCCAGAAATCTATTAATTACAATACCTTTCCGCAGGTTCGAATATTTCCCTCGCACATCCAAGAAATTTCACAGGAGAAATATTATCATGAAGGCGCTCAATAACGGGCGATACGACTAGATATTCTCGAGCATCAAAGCTACACCAATGGGCTTCACACTCACAAGGGGACGCTCATGTGCTTGCTAGTCTGTCATCACCTTCATCCAATAAAAATGATGCTCAGTGACACTGCATAAAGATCGCTCTGAATGCACGGGTATAGGACGTTCATACGAAAACCAAAAAGTCAGCTGACCGATTTCGCCCCCAACGGACTAACGATTTCTTCACTAGTTTTCCCTCGATTAATTTGCGTTTCTTTCCTTTGTGACGATGACATAAGCACGAATCCTTCCCCTCTTAAGTGCATCTCTTGGTAAAACTACCACATCAACTAGTCCACAGGCCATCGAGGTATCTAAATGACGACATTCTCTGGCATCACTGCCATCGGAAATGTGAACGCTTTAATGCATAAGTGAATTAAAATGTACAATATAAAATTACAATCCAGTATTAGAGGTCCCTGACGTGCCTTTAAAGTTGAACACTCTAAAGCAATCATTTTGAGAGGGATAATATTGGTGCTGTAACAGATACACTTTGTGGGGGGAAAAAAAATGAAAAAGACTCCTAATGCTGAGAAAACCCCAGCAGAGGAGAGGGGATTGAATCTTTCAGGGCTGACAGCTATCATGGCAGCTTTGACCTGCCACTGGCTGCTCAACTCACTGGCTGGTTTTTCATAGCAGATAACGTTGGCTGGCTGGTGGATTTAGTGGCAGTTAATGTTGGCTGGCAGATTTAGTCGCCAGCTTCCAGTGGCAGGTCAAAGACGCCATGTTAGCCATCAGTAGCAGCTCCAAGCCACCACTGAAAGGATCAACCCCTGCTGCAACAGAGCTTGTTAATGAAGGCAAAGCATTAACAATGTGCAGAACAATCATTTGCATCTCACTCAAGCACAATATAATCTTCCATACATCAGAGGAAATTAGTACCAATCAAATAGTGGAAAATAACTCAGTTCTAGCTGAGCCAAGAATAATTATGAAAATGGGCATCCAAGTCGTTGATACTTAGATAGGACATCATTTACTATTCGTTGCTAGTACAGTAGGCTCAGGGTGATTAATTTTTGCAATCATGTATCGCCAGTCCAACAGGCTAGAAAACAGTTCTTTTTAATATTGTCAGTCATACATTTCAAAGCTCATACATCCCCGCATACATTAGCAAGACATGAAAACAAAAACAGTCATCTGAAAGATTCATGAAAACACAGCAGTAACTTGAAAAGGTATTTGGGCGTCTCTGATGTAAAGTATCAGACAAAAGCCGTGGTTTATGACTAATTATGTCAAAATAGAGACAACTGATACAATCCAGTTGGGAGGGAAAAGATTGTCCCTCATTATTCCCTGCTCTGTTGTTGGGGTCCACTTATCAATCACATGACCCATCTTTCCAGCCATCTTTCCATCGCTCGTCCACTCTGGAACAGTCAAACTCGGGCTTTCCAAGTCGCACATTGATGCTGTTGTGTAGCCTACACATCCACTGGGACAAATTGTGTCGGCTGCGCGTGTCTGGCTGGTTTGTTTTCAGCCTGGAATAATGAAGAGGGAATATTTGGTACATTATGGAACTAACCTTTTAAAAAAACACTTTACAGTAGCAATAAAGCATAAAAACAACATCCTCTAGACACATAACTGACGGCTAATCACAATACCAGGCAATACGAGATACTAAATGCGCACCATCCACCGATCTCTACAGGTGGCACAAGTACGTGTGCGCAAAAGCAAGCGCAATTAGTGAGTTTTGTCGGTTCAGAAATTAAGGTTGGACCTTGATCTAAGATCTTCTGCACACTCGTCACACGGGAAAAACTTCGAGAAAAGGTTTATAAACTGCTTCATTTCGCTCTGCTGGCTCTCGCTGGGTGTGTCGGGGTAATACGCAGCCATTGTGTGGAGAAAAGACCATGTACTCCTCCCCAGCTCTTCCCGGTCCAGGGGGCACTCCGGCGGTCTCTCCCCATCATCCACTCTTTCAATCGCCTTTCCCTGCGCAAGAACATGCACATAATAGTAAGTCGTTATCACGACCACATCGAGGAACAGAACAAGAACTTGACCCCAAGTGACACCCTTGTTTAGGTACGGTTAAGTCGAGTCATGACTGTACAACAGCGTGCCCCTTTAGTTTCGATTAGCCACCTGGTCGCATAAATAAATCGCCATTAGCCTATAAAACAAGGGAGCCATTACATGGAAAACATCAGTTACAATAAAGTTTTGCTGTCGATTAGATTTACCAAGCCAAGTTTTAGATCCTAGTGTGCTAGGCTGCTGTTGCAACTAATGCAGTGCTCATCAATTCAGTCAGCAAGTTGCTAAGCCCTCATCACCTGGGCAGCTGCGTCTGTCTTCTGAAGCTTCATCCATGACTTAAAATCTGTACACGCTCTGCAGGGCTTCTTTTTCGATTCTCCGGGTTTCCCCTGTTCGCTGTCAGCAGTACCGCTCGTGTTGCCCAGAAATTTAGAGGGGAACCCTTCAAACCCAGCTGACTGAGGAGAATGTCTTGATGCCTTGTTATCACCGGGCGCAGCCATATTTATTAATGCATTCTGGGATCGCCGAAACCTGTGATCAGTCACGAAATCGAGTCCTTTCAAGTATGTATCTGAAGGTCGCCATCACTAGTAAACCCTATTAATGTCGCGCTCGATTTAGTTTTTTTAGTGTGCTCTTGTCGTGGGCAGTGACATTTCCCCACCAAGATGTTATCAAATGGTAACCTCATAAAGCCAATGATATTTTTACATTCGACCTGACCTGGAACGAAGTTGCACTAAAACACTTGCCTGGTTTCTGCTCGGAAACACTTGTGTACGAGCCTCTAGAGTTCCGGTGGAAGATGTCCTGTCGTGCATGCGGCTGAGTTGAATCGTGAAGCATAATTATTACCTACTTGGGTTTTTGGCGAACAGCAACCGTTTTAGTGCTATTTAAATGTATAACATTATCATTTCTTTATGTTGATCGTTTAAAATAGGCTCTCCTAAGGTTGCAGGTAGCTAGTCAATAATGGAGTCACTTTAGATAACTAGCAAGACACGTTTCATTTCCTCGATTCATGCGTATTTTTCTGAACTTCTGCAGTTTTATAACGGTGCTCCTCTAAACTGCTGAAATGGGGATCCTCGAAAAGATAGCGGAAATCGAGAGAGAAATTTCCCGCACCCAGAAGAACAAAGGTAGGCAAACCTACTGTAGAAAAGTTT